AGCACAAAGAAAACTAAATGCACAATATAGAATTGTGTTAATCTACTTGTTGAGGAGGAGGCAGGTCTGTTTGACTGGCTGGTTTAAGAGGTTTAAAAAAGTTGTGTTAAGCTCAGATGGACACCACTGGCCACGTGCGTTCGCTGACTCGCTGGTTGAAATGGACTTGCGACCTGTCCAGGGTGTACCACACCTTTCGCACAGTGACTGCTGGACATGGACACCAGTGACCCCTGCTACCTGAAAAGGAAGAAGCGGGTAAAGATAATGGATGGATGGATGGATGGATGGACGGATGAATCAGCTGATTGCCGGCTGCGCTCGTCTCCACACCTGTTCTCATCTGCAGTGATTGAAGTAGCAGAATTGACAAAAGCTGAAGCGAGCAGCGCGTTCAATTAAAATAGCCTTGTTCAATATTTCTTCAATATAAATTTTCTCTAAAAATATTTTTGTTAATTTGTACAATAGCCAGTATTTGTATAATATACAGTAATAATACTGTATATTTACAGTTGATTTTTTTCATAGGCTTTTCATTTTTAATGTTAATATCCATTTGGTGACTTGTTAATAAACATAAATCTTATATCTTCCTTTCATTATGTTTTTAAAACTATCATGTCAAACTGATTTGCTTACAAAAGCAGTAAAAGCTTAATTAAAAAAAGTTTGTTTTTTGTCGTCTTCAGCCATCTTAATTACTGGTAACCCATTGGGTCCAGGTAGGGCTCAGAAATAAAAAAACTATGGGCTCGGTCTGGTCCGGGTCAGATTTATCAGGCCCGACTGCAACTCTAGTATGGATCCCCTGTGATAAACGAGGGACTACTGTACTAAAATAAATAAAATGTTGCTATTGCATGAAGGAACTGCAATAATTAATGATGAATTTCAACATTTATTAATATTTTAAAAAACTAATAATCAATAATGAGAAGATGCACGTTAAGGCAACAAGTACCCGTTCAGAAATAAAACACACGAGTGCTTTGACCTAAAACTGGGGTCTGCAACCTTTTTGATCAAAGATCATTTGATCATTTATTCATATTTCTACATTTTGTGACAAAAATAACTCTATGATGTAAAGAAGTAAAAACTTCTAGTTTCTACCTTTAGATGGAAATGAAAACACCGAACTCTGCAGACCTGTGGCCTTTTATGTGAAGAGAAATGAAGTGTCCCACTTTGAGGTAATAAAGCAGAAAATAGTAATGATGTTCAAACATTTGCAGAAAATTGACCAAACACTACCAAAGCTAGCGTTTTTTTTGTTGTGGGTATAAAAACCAGAACAATGAATTTCCTCTAAGTTTTGGTCAAAGCTTCATAGAGCTGCAGATGAGGGACTAAAGAGCCACATGTGGCCCCAGAGCCACAGGATGCAGACCTCGGACCTAAAACATCCATCACCGAACACACTTTTACCTTTATGAAGCCTGGAAGAAAGCACAAAGTTCTGACGTCCGACGCTGTGCTTCATGCTTTAAACTAAAATCTGAATCGGGAGCAGAACTGTGGGACACTGAAAGGCATCAGAACTGTTTGCTTTTTATTATAATTCAGTTTGGATGTGACTTGTGCACTGCATGAAGGGAAGCTATATTTAACACAGAATGAGCTTCATGTGGGCTTTTGGTCACTGATACTGTAGGTCTGATTGCTCATTTCTGAAAAACATTGGATAGAAAGAGCCAGATGTTTCAGCTGTACATTTTGTTGGATTATTTTATTCCTCAATGCCTCAGAGGACAAAACAACAAACAGTTTGTTCTCGTAGTTTTCAGCACTAAAGTGAGTCACAACCTGTATCGACCTCTTAAATCCCTGCCTGGCCTCTAACAAACATCCTTTTGCACCCGTAAAACATCCAACCTTTCTGGTAACAGTCAAAGTTATTCGATACTCATTCGTAGCAGCGTTAAGAAAAGCATTAAGCAATTTTGTAATAGTTGCACAGCAGAGAAAAGCTTTTTATTTTTGGGATGTTGCAACTTTTCCCCCTCATGTTCGTAAAAAGTTGTGCACACTGGAGAATTGTATTTTTCTAATAAACAGAACAGCTGTATTGCTGACTGAACCCACATCCACAAAGAGTGATTTTGTATGAGTCAGGGTTTGTAAATAAATTAGATTTGAATTGATAGAAGTTCATTTTCTCTTTAAAAATGAACGGTTCAGATTTTGGGGTTCTGTGGATTGGTTATGAACAGTTAATATCTAACCTGTTATAGATAGCTCTTTGGATGACATCTGAACAAAACAAAGAAACAGAAACCAGGACTCAGAAGCTAACTATGGTCGTCCTGTCTGATCATAAAAATAATTTATTAGCTCCAGGTGTTTTAATCACAGGAACTGAACGTCTCTGATCAAAGCTTAAACTTAACACCTTTCCTACAACACAAACAGAGTAAATTTATTTTTACTCAATCCTTTTAACACTCTCACCTTGTTGATGACTTCAAGCATTAAAATATGAACAAATGGGTCAATAATTATTTTTTTTGCCTGTGGTTTTATTGTTGTATTTTTCTAATCATTAAAATAAATTCAGACTGTTTTGAACATTTTCTTTTTTTTTTATTGCTGGCCATTAAAAAAAAGGCTCATATTTAAAATGCCATTTATGTTTTGCAGTGAAACTCAACTAACCACTCACTGTTTGTTTTACATTGTCCAGTTATCAAAACCTGCAGAGACTGTGATGAGGTTTACTGAAGGAAGTGCTCCAGGATACACCAAACGTGCTACAGCTAGCTGCTGCTGCTATTTGTGCTTCAAATAAACACTAACTTCCATGTAAATAAGAATGTAATGGGAAACTGATAACGCTGTAAAAGTTGAGGTAATTGTTAAATTTTTTTTCTCAGTTTGATGTTTTTAATTTTGTTGTCTTAACTGTGATGTGGTAACTACGTTTTGTATTTGCTGACGCCTATCGTGGCTATTTTCTGCCGTGAAAATGAGGTTTATAATCTAAATTGGACCTTCCTGGTTAAATAATAGTTGAATAAAAGAAAAAAAATATTATAAAATAGCAATTTATATTGATCTTGGCCTTAGCCTAGCTGTTAGCATGTTATTCCAGTCAGAATTAAACTTTATTTCTCCAAACTGAGGCACAATCCGGTGCTGCTAATAATCCGAAATATACGGCAACTCAAAGAGCTATGTACAACAGGTGAGAAACTAAGGTACCACTTTACAGTAAGGCTCCCCTTACAGATGGCTAATAAGTATTTTATAGATACCGCTACATTATTAATTCCTCTGTAAACACTTTATAAATCATTAATTACTGCTTATTATGCATTAATTAAGGGGGACAGAGAGACAAAACTAACCAGTTTTTGCCAAATAGTGAGTCAAATCTGTTCACCTATATATTTCAACTAAAGTTGTTATATTAAACATTTCAGACTAAGTTACTACCTTGTACAGTAATCATTTGTAAACCTATTTTTTTAGCATATAATATTGTACTATATCACTGTATTATAAGTATCTGCAACTAATATTATATCTTAAAAAATGAGGTTTACAAATGCTCATTGTTCTTACAAGGCAGTAACTTAGTCTGAAATGTTTAATATAACAACTCTAGATGAAATGTATAGGTGAACAGATGTGACTATTTGGCAACAAACTGGTCGGTTTCGTCTCTGTCACCCTTAATTAATGCATAATAAGCAGTTATTAATGATTTATAAAATGTTTATAGAGGAATTAATAACATATCTATAAAGTATTTATTAGCATCTATAAGGAGAGCCTTACTGTAAAGTGGTAACCAAACTCATTATCCATAACATTTACATTGAACCTCACTTTAAAAGATGTGAATCATCTCTGCAGCTTTCTTGGCTTCGTGCTGTAAAATTTCATCAACAAAAACAAGTTTTCCTATATTTAGTACCTTTTGGAGACATTTTCCCACGGCTGACGTCTTTAACACAGACGTCTGATTAGGGATGACAGCAGAACGTGTGTCACGTGAGACATGAAGGTATTATGGGATGCCCCTGAGCTCCAGGGGCAGCTCGGGCTCTTTGATGGTACTTTTTCCCTCTTTCGTCCTCTGAGTGTGCGAGCCTGAATGCACTTGGAGGAAGATGAGACAAACGGAGGAAAAGAGGGCATTCAAGGGATCAAATGCTGTGTAAAATCCCCGGCGTGCTCTGGTTACACACCTGGTACCATTAAAGCACAAAAGCCCTGAGAGTGGTGACCAGTCGTTTTGCTTGGCGCAGCCTTTCTGGCCCGTCCTCCCTGCAGGCAGCTGAAACACTCACTCTGAGTTTGATCAGTGAACACAAAGTCTGACACGGACACGGACGCATGCAGTGAACATGAAACATTATGCAAACGGAGTGACACACACACAGGACTAGGATAACGCACACACACACCCATATCTGCACACGCCTTTTATCACTGTTAACAGCAAAAGAGTGATATTGTGTGTGAACATATCTGTCGTGAACCATTACGCATATTTTAATGAAACTCTGAGAAAGCAACTCTATAACTGATTTACCATTTGGAGCCAACACAGAGCAAAATGGCTGCCGAAGCCAATTGACCTGAAAACACACAGTTGTCTTTAACGCTGTCACTTTTACAGATACTGAGATCAAAGTCGGTGAAGTAGCAGCTGAAAATGAACGGTCGGCACAATTTATGAGCAATAACAAATCGCAGAAGTCCATCCATCCATCCATCCATCCATCCATCCATCCATCCATCCATC